TTCCCAGGGATCAAGCAGCATTCATCCTGGAGTGAGGTGCTCATGTTGCCAAAGCAAAACATCTGCATGCCCAGCTGGCATTCAGACATACCTGTGGAAGGACTAAGCAGCAGTATGCCCTCCACAGCCTCCTCCTGCGTGCAGCTAAACACCATGAGTACAGCAGTTCTTGCTTGGTGGGTGTCAAGCATCCAGGATGGGTGGGGTGGGGGTGTCAGGGAAAGCAGGAGGGAACAGAAGAGTAGAGTCACAGAATCACAGAATCGTCTAGGTTGGAAAAGACCTTGAAGATCATCCAGTCCAACCACTAACCCAACATTGACCGTTCCCAACTACACCAGATCCCTCAGCGCTATGTCGAGTCCACTTGAGGAACAAAGGAGATGCAGGACTCCCATGAATCTAGGCACCGGTAGCTGCAGAAATGTTTTGGGGAGTTACTGTCTTAAGTTTGCCTTGAAACATCAGAAGCACAGGAAGCCTTTATAGCCAAGTAACTCATGAGACAATGACTCAGGTCCCAAATAACCACCTTGCCTGCCCTCTGTTAGCAAAGTGTTGGAAAAATATTGTCCAGCTCTTTACACAAGGCCTTTTGTTGGCTGGTCAGCTTCAAAAACATTTCTTTTCTCCCCCAAGTGACAGTACTGCCATGAAAAAACAGGAAGAGATTGAATACAGTAATTTAAACAGTCAAACTCCATTTCCTGCCAAAAGGAAAAGAAAATACCAGCAAAAGGCAGAAGCCAGGTGATAGCTGCGGACAGACACTTTGATTATCTTGGACAGATATTTGTGTTGTGTATCCGGTAAAAGCTACAGCGATGGAGGTGACACCTTTTCATTTCAGAGACTGGAGTCTGTTAGGCTGCAGAGCGGCAGGTGATGCTGTGAGGCAGATCAGGCTGATGGGGAGACCAGGATCTCCCAGGATAGCAGCCCTGTGTTGCAACCAGCTCCTAAGCTGACAGCCAAGATCACATGCCAACAACACACTGTGTTGCAAGCCAAAGCGCCAGCAAGGATCCCTGTACATCTCCTCAGTAGGCCTTGGCACCCTCATGCTTCTTTGGGATCGATCCCTAATACCCTCCTCTTCTTCGCCCATGCTCGTATGTCCTGCACAGCAGTTCACCTGCTTGCTCCTCAAAGTAGAGGGAAGGCTCCCCCATCTCCACTACTGAGCCTCCCAGTAATGCAATTGTCAGTGGGCTTCAAAACACACCTATTGTTAATCTTATTCCATAGTAGTGAAAATCAACAAATCCCCCCCATGGTCCAGTCCTGTACCAAAATGGCCCTTTTACATCTTCATCCTCCTCCCAAAGTGGGTTTTTTTTTTTTTTTTTAAAGAAATCCATCATTTCCCAACTGTACCAACAGTTAATGACAAAGTTTATGAAGCATATATAAACCACAGCCTTCTTTATATAACTTGAAGATTGGTTTTTGGTTTAAGAAGTCTATTTTTTCCCTCCAGAACAGTCCTTCCTTCTGCCAACACCCTTCATGTCCATTCAGCCTCGCTCCCTCTGCTCCGTACGTTAACTGGTCACATTTTGGTGACACACAATGCTCTTGCTAGATAGCCAAAGGGGGTGAAGGTGTTCTCTGGGGCTATATAAGTAGGAATGGCTTCAGTATCAGGAAAGGAGATTTAGATTAGACATGAGGGAAAGCTTCCTAGCAGCAAAGACGGATCATGTAGGGAGAGAGAGAGGAATCTCCATCGCTGGAGGTTAAGAACAGGTGAGACAAATATCTGTCAGAAATGTTATAAGTAGGGCAGAAGGGCAAATCAGATGACCTCATAAGACTCTTTTTTTTTTTCCTAGCCTCATTTTTCTCTGATTATATGAATTTCTAAGCATTTGAGGTCAAGTGTACTGTTTAAATATAAGCTATTACCCTGTATTTGCAGAGAGGAAAACCAGGGAGGTATTACTTGGAACTGTTCATCACCTGAGGGAACATCACCAATTTGCAAATCAACTGCCCAGACATAAGAATCCATCATTTTTTCCTGATTTATGCTGAAGATTAACAGGAGGACAGCTATAACATAGGGGCAGGGGAGGAATGAACATTGAGGATCCTCCATCTCTGGACTTTTATATTTCTTATTCTGGAAATTCTTCTGTCACACCGCTGATATCTGCAACATTCACAGGGGGTTGGCACGAGAAAAGCACAAGCTCATTACACACTTGTGTCTCCATAACCTGCCTTCACACTGGGTTTGCAAACCAGACCAGAGCAAGTCTCCAGGACATCTGGAGACCCAGTGCCTCCCGCTTGCATCTTGACTGTGAGACACAGTGTGTCCAGTCCAGCTTGCTGCCAGGTCCTACCTGACCTCCACTTTCTCAGCATCAGCTGCGCCAACAAAGCTGCCTGAGCAAAGAAGCTGCAGACTCTGCACTGTACTATGGCCAAGTGCACCGTTCCCCCACATCCCTGTAATTATTTGTGTGCATACTGCAGGTTAGAAGAGCTGTTCTGGGAATGGTCTCCAAGAGACTTTTCTTGCCCTGAAGTGGCCTCAAGCAAGCAGTACACCAAGGCAGGAACAGAAGCATCCCAATACGTGGATCCCCTTTGAGTCAGTTATCTCCCTATTAGAAAAATATTTGTTACCAAAAGCCAGACCAGACCGTGCACCAAGACGTGAGGACAGTGTGGTGAGCCCAGCTCCGTAATCCATGGTCCTACAGTTAATACCACAAAGAAGGGCTGGACTATGTCTTCTAACAGTGTTTCTCTGCAGTGCTCAGTGAGGGTTTCCCACAGCTCATCTCTACCCATCTGCTCAATGCCAGGCACATCAGCTGTGCCTGTTCACACGCAGGATTTCAGCTACCGAGGGCAGGGCGGCAGAGCTGAAGTTCAGGTCCAGCCTTGATCACAGGCAGGTTAAGCCTCTATTTGCACCAGCAGAGAAATAGTTGACATCCACGTAAAACCAGAGAAAGTCTCACTGATGGCTTTGTAATTGGTTTTAGAGCTGCTTCAAATACATGCGCTAAGAGGCAGAGCAGCAGTGCTGGTGGATGGCTGGCAAGCAGGATATCAGTAAAGGAAACGAGGCCCTCACAGACATATATCCAGGCTCCAAAATACTTCACCAACCATCAAATATTTTCCAAGCTTAGCGGCTGGACTCTGCAATCCTTACAGCAGCCAAGTCACTAATACCTCTTCCCTCGGGCAGCACAGCTGATCTCAGACAGGGCTTGCCAGCAGCTCTAAGTAGACTCATTTAAGGAGAGGACAACCCACTTTTAGTTACACTTTTCAGACTTCTGGTTTTTTCTTCAAAGATCTCCAGGCTCTTTCTCCAGCTGGGTTGCATTAGCATCTCTGATTCACAGTGAAGAAATGCAGTCACAAATATGCCAGTCCCTGGCTCCTTGTCCTCTCCTCAACCTCTGCAGTCCTGTCCCTCCAAATTTGGTCTGATATATCAGTCTTCTTGTTCCGGGACTCACCCCGAGGGACACAAGAAAGCTGCTGGCCTTTTTCCTCCTGTCTAAAGCCACAGAACCCAGGCGACTGAGAGGTTTCAAACCTTCTGATTCAAGAGGTCCAGTATTGCAAACGTTAGTACGGAGCATAAGCAAGGCAGATTTGCAAATGCATGGAGAGGCTTAACGGCCCAGGAAAGAAACTCCAGTGGGAAGCTCCCAGCTTAAATATAAAGACAGCTCTTTGAAAGTGCAGAGGCCTTGAGGCTAAACAAAAAAATCAAAGCCAGATTTGGGCACAGCCTTTCTCCCTGTGCAATACTCCATAGGGAGATTTGCAGGTCTAGGCAGAAGAGATCCCAACTAAAATGAAGGACTTCTCCCTCTGCACGTTCGGTGTGGGAGTATGAGAGCAGTGTAAGGTCAAGCAATAATGCTGAGGGCACTGGTGTAAAGGGCAAGTAGGGCAAGAGCAAGGCAGGATCAGTCTCCCTGCAATTAAATTTCTGTCTGTGGTCCTCTTGGTCTGTCCTTGTCCTGCAAAGGAACAACAGCAGGAATCCCCCAGCAAAGGAGGCTTCAGTACAAAGGAAAGCCGGAGCAATCCCATATCCCAAGCCCTGACTGCCTTGAGATTATGGGGCAGGAAAGTGCTCTGGTGTCTATCCGTATTCCCTTTGCTCAGACTTGAACTTGCCTCTCACTTAAAAGAGCTAATTAAGGAAGGAAATCAAAGCCCGGAGAAGCGGCTATTACAGCAGCCAGGGTGCAGTGCCGGCTGTAATGCTGATTTCTGTGCGTGGTATCAAAGCCAGCTGTATGGTGGCGGGGCTGACGCAGATTTCTGCAGTGACACTTTAGTGAACCGACTGAATAAACTAAGACAGTTTCTTAAGACCATTTGTAGGTCAGGAACACCAGACTCTTCCCCAATCCTGCCCTTAAGTCCTGCAGTATTTAACCCTTGATCTGCAGCCAGGCCTTGATTTTTCAGTGCAGAGGCAACACAGAGCTGGCTGGAAACCGAATGGTGAGGGACTTTGATGGTTAATGACCCATGCTTTTCAGCCCTAGAATAAATTAAACCCTGGCTTCACAAAACTCCCTGAATAATCCTGCTCCTACTCCAGCCCAGGGGAATAAAATTACACCAGCAGACGCAGAAACCAACACAAGCCATTGACATTATCTAGGTCCTGTTTTGGTTTAGGTTTGAGCCAAGACTGCACAAGTAAATGCAATTTCACCCCTAATGAATTGCACGGTGCCATCCCTTCTAAAGATTTCAAGGTCTCTTGGCTCAGTTCATCAGCAAACATAGCATGCTTGGGGAGGTCAGAAAGTGACAACTTTCTCAGCTCATCCGTGAGCAAACTGAGGCATGAACAGGTTAAATTAGGTGGTGTGGTGATCTGGAGGCAGAACCAGGACTGGAACAAGGCAGTTCCTTCATCCCTGCTCTAGCCATTAAGCCATGTTCTAAGATCTGTGAGCATATGAAGAGGTTAAGGTTGGGTGCTTAGGGGCTTTACTTACCGCACTGCTACAGGGAATGTCCTTGACTTTGAGCCAGGCCAGATCTAACGTCCCCTCTCCCCTGTAGCAGGACTGCAGTCTGTCCTTGATGCGATCATTGATCTTTTTCAAGACAAAGATGCAAAGAGCAGATTCATCTAAGGACTTCATCTTCCTTTTCTGCCCCTTGGAGAAGACTGTGAAGAGGATATCATCCTCAGGGCCAACACCCAAAGACTTGGCTAAGATGGTTCCAGCCTTAGACAAGTAGGCTGCCTGGAGCAACCGGTACTCCACCCCATTCTTCTCACAGCCAATGGGCACCTCAACATAGGAGTTAAAGGCTGTGTCCTCCTTACAAAGCCGGACCAGCTTGGAGGTATAAACCTGCTCCTTCGTGGTGGAGCCAGGTGGTGAGATCATCTCAGGTTGCAGAGTCAGAAAATAGACAAAGTTACCACTGCTGAAGCCATAGATGTAGTAGATATCAAAGTCAGGGATGATGGTAAAGGTGTCTGAGGGGATCTTGATCATAGAGGCCACAAACTCATCATGAAAGACATATGCAAACATCCCATCTGCCTCAGAGTTCTTGGTGAGCTTTCTGCTGGAAATAGTGGGGAAATACTCAGGTTTGCCATCCACAGCAGTGGCAATGAACAACTTGTCATCCATGTTGCTGTAAGAAACAATGACTCCAAAAACAGAGCCACTCTCATTCACCCCAGAGAGATAATGCTCCTTCTTGTGGAAGGGCTCTCCCAGCTTGAAGAGGTCATCCAGCCTCAAAAGCTTACAGATGCCCTGGTAAAGACTCCCACAGGCTATCAACCGATTCTCCTTGTAGTCTATGAGGAGCATTTTGTTTATGTTGTTAGTGGGCGTCAAGGGTTCGTTGCAGGTTTGGACTATCCTGGGAGGATAACACTTGGGATTATCTTCATCAGGACCAGTCTGGTGTGTCACCAGGACCTTCAGGTCACTGGAGAGTTTGTAGATCCTGTTGACAGCTCCCAAGTAAATGTGCCCAGTTCTTTCGTCAACCACCAAGTGGTTGAAGTTTCCCTCTGCTTGGTCTCCAGTGAAAGTGATGAAGGGCCTCTTCGGATGGAGTGGCTGCTGCCTCCCAAGAGGCGACACTGTGGTGGATAGCAGGAGGTGAGAAACCAGGCAAGTCCATTTCCACATGGCCGGTGACATGATTAGAAAGGTTTGTATTCCCAAGGGGACGAGGATTAAAAGCGGTAAGAGTCTTCAAAACACCAATTCCCTGGCAGCCTTTGTCCTACAAGCAGAGAGAAAAGAAAACAAAAGTACATTACTATGGAGTATTCCTTCCTCCTCCCTCCTTCACAACCATGCCATCATCAGAGCATATTTAATTACTAATCCTCCCTTTCTCGTCTCAGAGCTCTCTACTTAAAACCAGAACAAAGGGAGCCCTCCTGAAAGAAAAGATGCTGGTAGAAAGAGCAGAAATCACACAGCAGAGTAATAAATCAGCACCCCTTTACTGTCCATTACACACACAGCGTGCCCCATGGTGCAGCACAAAAATTCACTGGAAGCCAGAGCAGCACAGAAGGCTAATGGTAGAAACATCAAGCAGTATTTCTGTTTGCACTGCCAACTTTGACCAAATTGTGTATTCGCTATCTAAGAAGACAGGAGTGGAGAAGGATTATTATCCTGCTCTTCTGGGTGAAGGACTGAAGCCTAGAGAAGGTCAGGGAGCTGCCTACAGGGACAGGTCCAGATGTATGCTGAGCTCTTTTGCAACCCTTGAAGTTTATCAGGAGGAAGCCAGCTCTGGTCTGACATTAATATCCTTTCTGGGAGACCTCGGTCCAGAACGGGCCTGTTTGAACAGGCTCTCTGTGGCTTCCAGATGAAAGCTGCCTCATGCTGGTCCAGCCTGGAGTACAGACATCGGGGTTGTAGTGTGCCAACCTTCACACACACATCTACAAAGGGCATGCAGCCAAGCATGGAGCAAATTGAGCACCAGGTCTCCTCCCTCCCCTGGGCTCTCACCACAAGACTGCTCTCCACCCACTGTACAACCAAGAAAACTTTGTCTAAAAGAGAGATACAGTTCCCCCAGGCATCTCAGATGACTGAGGAGAAAGGGGTTGCCTAACTATTATCAGTAACACAGTCTAAAGAATGGTGAAGTAAGAAAACTAACAACCCAGGGACCAGCCCGGTGACTTTCCAAAAAGAGGGAAGAGGGCTTCTTTTCACCACTCAGTCTCTTAAAATCTCTGAGGTTTAACCAGGGTGGTGGGAGCAGTACAGGGTTCTGCAATTTGGTGAGCACATCACCAAGCCATGCCATGGAAATGCATCTTCCTACTCAACTCATCCATCTGTTCTCTGCTCCTTCACTTTTTCATGGCTGCTTCTGTACCAAGAACAGCTTTGGCTCTTTATGGCGCCGCAGAACGTGTGAGAGATGGAGTCCTACCAGCCCAGGTCTCCCAAGCTAAGCTCCTCGTTGGATGCTGACTGCACAACCCTTGTTACTGGTGGCCAGGCTGAGGCACACAAGTCTTTCCTCCCTTCATCTCTCTTTAACATCCAGATCAGAATTTCACAAAACTGTTCTTCATTTTAAAAAGGACACAACCCCAAACCCTAGCTCTGTTCCTGCAGGCCAGTGTCCTATCACCTCTCTCACAGAGTGACTTTGCTGAAATCAGGAGTGTAACAAGCTGAGCAAAGGTGATGACAGCCAGCCCCGCACAAGTGGGAGGCGAGGAAAAAATCACTGTTTGCAGATCCCAGCAGGGAGGATGATGTAGCAGTGACACAGGTCTGGATTCGCAGCTTTTTCAAATCTGTGCAGCTCTGCTAACGCCAGTGGAACTGAAAAATTTACTTCAGGAAATAATAAAGAGAATAAATCCTGTCTTCTTTTGACCTGTAGACTGATTAGATCTGATAGTGGAAAGGGTAAATCTGGGCTTGTAGAGCATCTGCAACTTTTATGCCACCCCAAATATTTCAAAATTCTCACAGTAGCCACAATTTCAAAGCTGTTGTATGATCACCTTCACCTCTCACTGTCCTCCCTACCGCAGCAGCCACAGGCATGGGATAGATGACGGACAAAGGTCATTTCACATTTACTTTAGGCGTGTTTACCCTGCTCTGCTTTGCCTTTCTGGTCAAGCAAATATTTAATAAAATCAAGCTTACACTGCAGAGTTTGCAAGACTGTCTTGCGAGCAGGAGAGGATTCGCTCTGCGGGGATACGCAGGCTGGTCACGTAGGCTTTTAATAACCTTTATTATGATAGATAGAGCGGCGATGGGATGAGCTCTCCCAGCACAACCATTCCTCTTTCAAAAGAGGCCATCCTTGAGAGAGCAGCAGAAGAGGGAAGCTGTCCCTGTTTGAGTCCTGTGTTCAGAAACATCACGTGGCGACCCTGAACACCGGCTCCCGTCACTTGTGAGTTATGAACCATATTTCTAACAGACACTGGTTTGATTGGGCACTAGACAGATCTAGGAAGAAATCATTCTTTTCAAGTACTACAAAGATATCTATTTTACCCTATATTTTACTATATTTTGCTCCTCTTAGTCCTGCAGAGTCAGCACAGCTGCAGGACAGGGAAATGGGAACTGCCTTGACCCAGAGACTGAAGAGGTAACGAATGGCCCCTCTTCTGCAACAGGACCCCTCTGCCCACAGGTCATCACAACGCCCAAGAGCAGAGTTGCAACAACAGGAGGAAATCTGCCCATGAAAATAAGTGGCCAACACAGCATAAGAGGAGATGATACACTCCAGACGTGAAATCTTTGAGGCCCAAGCGGGTGAGAATCGCGATTCACTTTGAGGTGAGACTGTTACTCATAGAGGAAGGGGACAGCAAGGGGAACCTTACTCCAGGCAAAGAAAGCAAATTTGATCTGGAAACTAGAGAGACCCCAGTGAGAAATTCCAGGAAAGCTGGATGAGGACTCCCTTTTGCAGCAGACAAGGGCACTTCAAAAATAGTGAACCTCATAGGGAAAGATGCTCACTTGCAGAGGAAAGAGCATCAACAGTCCGGCAGCACCAACAGCCACCAAGCAAGCACAGGAGCGGCCTTTGGGGACAAAGCAGGGAGAGCAGGAGCCTGGGGCTATCTTGCCATCTTCCATCAGCCATCTGAGTGACCCTAGGAACAGGATTTTCTCTGTACGCTGCTGGCACTCACTCCTCTCCCATCTGCTCATGTTGCTTACGCTGTACCCTCTGTCCTGGAGTTCCGATCAGTACTTGAGCCTCTAAGGGCTATAATCTATAATTTGGCTTAATTAATAAAAAACAGCAGAGGGCAGAGGCAAGGAGGACTGGTTGTTTAGCTTGCAGAATAGAGCAGGCTTTGTACTACCCCTTAGAGGATGAACCAAGGAGAAGGGGGTTATGCATGTCTTTTTATTACCCATGTCTGTATAGCAGAAATCATAGCAGCTGAGAAGACAAATGATAGAGTGCCATAGACATACTCAGTCTCTTAGGCTGCTCGGTCTACAAGAGAGTAATTATGTCATAAGAAAAAAGCAAATAAACAAAAGGCCACAGTGAGCAGGCAGTGAGGTCTGGGCTTAGGCTCTGAGCCGGGTATTTCCAAAATAAACCCAAGTCACCTTCCCACAATGATCAGGCTCACTTGCCTTTTCCCCCAGAGACATGGCTAGCAGTGATGCCATGACCCACCACGCAGGGCTGCTGTCTGAGACCAGACTGTCTCTCTACATGGCTCCTGCCACAACAGCCTCTTCACCAGCACATTCAAGACCTCTACAGCCCCAGGGATCTGCAGGGAGAGACCTTCAGGTAGAAAGCAGCCTTGCTTTTTCTCCCTCTGCCAGGGCCAGCTGCGCCCTTCACATGTAGCGGTAGTACTGAGGGGATGCCACAGGTCATAACAATACAAAGCTTTTCCTCAAGACTGGATCTCCTGGGTCAGTCTCTTCACCGCCTTGGCATAAAAAAGCCAAGACACTGCCTACCTCCTCCTCTGACCATGGTTAGGCTGTGGTGCTACAAAGCCTTCATGACATGAAGAATACCCAAAGTAAGATATCATTCTTTTTTCCAGAACTGGAGCTACACCAGATCTGAACCTAGCCTGGACATGAAATCGAAGCAGTGGAAGCCTTCTCACAAATCCACCTGTTTCAGACAGGGTTCCATCCATGGTCAGGGGAAGGTCTCAGACTCAGCTCCCACATAAGGTCTCACAGCGCTCTCTTGTCTGTGGAACTGGTGTCTCTATGGCTTGCAAATAACACATTGCCCATAACACCCTTTCAGTTCACACAGTTTGGTTTAAGGACTTGTTTTGTCCTGAAGGACAGCAAATTACTTTGCTACCCTATGGTGTGGTTACTTTTTTACTGTTATTGACCATTTCCAGCAAAGGTTTGAGACCACTGAGTTAGAGGATAGAGCTTGGTTCTGCTCAGGGGTCTCCAGGACGCAATGCCAAGACTCTACAACATGCAACCTTATGGTGAATAGATGGAGTCCTGGACAAGAAAAGTTTGGGTGAAAAAAAAAAAAAAATATGAGGAGGAAATTTTCCTAACTTCTTTTAACTCGCGTGGTGGCTGTTATTAGATGGGAAATCTAAGGAATGCTGAATAAAACCTCAAAACGCAGCAGGTTTCAAGGGAACAAAGTCAAGACAGATGCGCTATGGCTGAGGAAGTAGGAATAAATCAGGAATAAAGAAGGCACTGATCTGTCAATTGAAAGGGAAGGACTTGGGAGGAAGTGTGCAGGGAGAGGGGAAAGAGAACTGGGGCATTTGGTTTTGATTGACAGTCTCACAAAAGCCATGGTCACATCACTGCACTAGTGACTGGCACAAATCCACCCCACTGCTCCTGAAAGGAACATGTCTCTGGGTGAACACAGGAGGCGACAGCATCTCCTCATTTGGCTCACACACACACACAACCCTCCTGCCATCAAAGGGGGCAGACAGATTCCCATCACCAGGTCCCCTGCCACAGCCACATGTTGGCAGCGGGGGCACTGCAAGGTCAGCGGCAAGAGGAGTCACACCTGAAAGCCTGGCTGCAAAAAGCCATGGAAACAAACCCACCCTGGGTCCAGCTCCAGCCAGAGGCTCAGAGCAAAAGTACGTATGAAAATATAGAACATGACCAAAACGTGCTGAAAAACGGCACTGGGAGATGGAGAAAACTCAGCGCCTCCTCCTGCACAGTGAGTCTGACACCACCCCGGAGTCCTGGCGGCTGGTGGGACGGGCTCGG